ATTCTGTTGGGCAATTTAGCTATTTACTTGTAAAAATAGGATATATAAACCATCCTCTAGAATTTGAGTCATGAAATAATATTTTAAAAATGAAAGCTAGTAAGAGCAGGCTTTGCACTTCAAACACTAAATTAACAATTTTATGGAAGAAAAATAATTTGATGTTCTGTAAGTACATGATATTTTTAAAAGATAAAATCCCATATTAACAAAAATACTCTCTATAGTATTTTAAATTCGTAGTCTTATGCATATTTCTAAAGTATGGTAGACAAGGTACTTCCCTAAATAAGGGTTTCTCTGTCTCTCTCTCTATATCTATGTATATACACACATACACACACACATACACTAACAACTTTGCTTGGAGTAAGTTTTAGATTCATACATAAAAGGTCAGATTGTGCTTCCAGAACATATTGGGTATTTGTTTCTTTACCCTCTGACACATCATGTATGATATGAAATTTTAAATTCTCAAGTTCAAATATATCCTCTATCTAAAAGTAGTTCTATGGCTTTATGAAGGAATCATATAATTATAATTGCCCATAACTGAGATTGTAAATCCACTACTTTATTTGTTACACATGGAACATGCAATGTGTTTCTCTTTTTATTTGGCAAAATGGAAAATAAACACCTATCAGGCAGTATATTTATAACCACGTGCTTTGTAAATTATAAAGTTCTGTGTCTGGCTACCAGAATTTTTCTAATTTTCCTAATTAGAAATTTTCCTACATCATAATATTCCTAATTTTTCTATTTTTTCCAATTCAGATTTCTCCAATGAAAATATATGATATTTGAGACATTAGCTATATTCCAATATATCATGGGAAATTTTAATGAGTATCACTTATCAGTTGTTTTAAGATCTCCCTTCTTAGGCCTTACTCATGATATTGTAAAATCAATGCTTCTTTCACTGAGTGTCACTGTAAATATCTCACACATCTATATGTGCCCATAGAACACACAAGAATATACGGATCATGAATGAACCTAAAATGTGTTTCCAGTTGTTTCGATTTCCATGTTACCATACAGGCTTCCCAGTACTCAGTCTTTCAGAATGATGTAGAAGTATCTAAAGAAGATGCCTAGAACATGAAGAAAAGACACATACATAACGTCAATATTTACTGTACAAAGATAGCTGAATATTGTTACCTGATGGAAAATTTTTTTCATAAAAATCAAAGATGCTATGCTTGCCTGCACATGTAAAAATTGACCTCAGTAGTGGAAATTTACATGGTCATGCCCATTATTTAGCAGCACAAATAAACAACAAACTTAACAGGGTTTAGTTACTTGAATTTTTCCCTTCTCAGTCAATTATGATGAAATAAGCAGGAACACTTTGCTTTGACTGAGGATTTATTAGGACATTCGTATGCATAGCATAGCTATTATGTTCTGCACCTAACAAGACAAATGCTGGAATCTACCGTCTCAGAACAGCTGAAGGCAGAGCTTTCTCACAGGCAGAAGAAAAACTCTTCAGTTTTTCGGTCACTCAAATGGCACACCCCTCTAACCACTGCTTTCCTAATTAAACACATCTACCTGTATGTTGCCGGTCTCATTCTAGGAAATAGAGACCTTCCACAAATTTCTACTGCCATGGCGGGTGTAGCAAGAAAACATCACAAGTAGAAGAGCAGATGCCATCTGAACACATACTGCAGCCTGGGAAGAAAACTGAGTTTTCAGAAATACTCTGGGTTACTTTCTCAGGAAAATAATTCTTCTATTTAAGTGCAGACAGAGTTTATGACTGTTTACATCATCATGATGTTCAATGGAGGAAAGTGTAAGGTCATTACATATTAGTTCATTAGAATATTTGGACCAAAATCAAATGAATTAGTCTTTCTAAACAGTTTTCTTCCATACAATGATCCCTAGAGGTGAAAGACTTGGTTCTTGCCAAGAAAACGTAGCTGAATGCCAAGTAACGTAAGAAGTAGAATTCTAACATGAACTGAATACTAAGTTCTGAGTTTCACATCATTGAAAACTTAGGTGAGGCCGGTAATACTTAAATAAAGATGAAGAGAGAAATAGCCACAAGTTCCTTTACCCTACCACAGCCCAGTAAAGGAGGGTTTTACCCTGGCTGTTAGAAAGTCTGTGCCCCAGAAGCACGGAAGCTCAAAGACAGAGATTCCTAGAGCTGAGTGTGACGATCGAAATCTCTGACAGACAGGCAATCACAGTTCTGTGGGTTTAGGTAGGAGTAGAGGTTATTAATCAAAGAAATTGTTACTTTGTAACCTGGGAACAGCACCTAAAGGCCTCCACTGTAATTTCCTTAACAGGGCTTGTCACTGGCTGCATTGATCAACTGTATCTCATCATATGTGTAGTTAAATGTCTGATCTTCTGTTCTTTAAGGTCCTTTGATAAAGAGTCACATAAATACTTATCTGAACCTGCTAAAGATTTTTGTCATGTAATGAGTTCCACTAAAATTTGACAGTTTTCAATTTACCTAATAAATTGACTGAATCCAGCAGCCTCAAATATCCTATGTGTTATTTTTAAGATTTTATGAACCTGGCTAAGCACTGTACCTCTCTCATTGGCAAAAGCTAAAAGTTGCACAAACATATCTTAATTCTGAAGGGCTATCTGATGTGATCAAAGTTACTGTGCATTAAATTATGACTCAAAGAAGAAGAACTAATATATGCATAAGGCATCATTCTCTCTGTCTCTCCATCCAGCTGAATGCAAAGAACTATTAACACTTTCTGCCTACGAGGCAAAAGTGTTCTTAGGAGGGATGATGCCCACAACAGTCTGGAATCTTATTTTATTTACTCCAATGAAAAATACTTTGAAAATTTTAACTATGTACATGTAGCCTCAAAATATGTCACAAACCATCTAATTCTCTATAACAAATATCAACTGATATCAACTAACACATTAGAAACTTAAGTACAGAACTAGCAAAAATGCTTCATTTTACTCAATTGTCCAAATTAGAACAACCAGAGAAAACAGAAAAAGGTAATAGGCATGTGCTTGAAAGCACTTAAAAAACTAACAAGGCACAGACAATCTATAGGACCAATATTTTGAAGGAAGTCCACAGACCTAAGCTTTGCATTGGGGTCCTTTTTCCTCCAAAGGTGTAGAATGATTCTAAAGGCCCCAAATGAAAGCCTGAGGATCTGGAAGGAACTTTCTTGATACTTTACTCTGAGGGAAGAATGAAATTCAAGGTCTCTACCAAAAGAAGAGCTTTTGGCTTTGCAATAGCCAAGCTTTCATTTGAGACCCATTAAAGGGTTTCTTTACTCTCGGAGTAGGGGGATTATGCAGTAGCTGGTCCTCAAAGGCACTCAAGCCCAGTCTGAATCATCGAATTTTTTGATGGTGTTCATGTTATTGGGGTCTGTACTTTTTCAATCCTAGCTGCCAGCTAGAAACACAGGGAATCCTCTCTTAAAGAAGAATACATTGTGAAAAATCTTGAATTATCTGACAATTTATTATATTCAAAATATAACTATACTTTGTTATTTTTAAGGCACAATTGAATGGCAAGAGCAATATAAGCAGGCACAGATAATTCAAATAGTGAAGAACAAGCATTTTAACATTAGCTTAGTATGTACAAAATATTAGAGTAAATGCTGCATAATAAGTTTGAAAACTATGATGTACTGAAATATATATAGTTCTTACTAAAATTAAGAACTCAAAGATTGCCTTTCACAGGAGATTAGAAACATAGAGAATTAGTAAATTAGAAGATAGATTAGAAAAAATATACATACGCATGCTGATAGTCCTAAAGTCAATGTAGAAAATATAGTGTAAAGGAGATGTGAGGAATAAGGTACAAAACTCTAAGACACATTAAATTGAATTATAATTCCTGAAAGAGAGAAGAAAGAGAATAGGGTAGCCAAAATATTTGAAAAGATACAGCTGAAAATTTTCTAAAACTATTGAAAGACATTAAATGTAAACTCAAAGGGTGTTAAAAGTTTCATATAGACTATGTTTTAAAAAGAACAATTATTTAAGAAGATAAATAGGAAAGGTAAAGTATAATGAAACCAAAAGACAAAAAGAAAATATTAAACACAGTGTATTCAAAAGATAACAATAAGACTGACAACCTATTCCTTTAAAAAAAGTGGTAAAAACCAGAAAATAAAGAGATCTACATGGCACTAAATAAAAATATATCTGTGAATAGAACTAAATATAATTTTTAAAATCTTATAGAAACAGGAAAAATGTAGCAAGTTTTCTGACTAAAATAACAACAAAAGAATACTTAAGAGATTTTGTGACCAGCCAAATGATACTGTCTAATCCTTTGAAGACTGATCTTCAGGAAAAAGGAAAAATCTCTGAAATAGAAAGAAGGAAATGCAGGCAATAATGAGGACTGTGAGAAAGAGGACGCATAGAAATAAACCAAAAGGAATATTAACTCTAAGTCACCCTTATAAATATAAAACAAAGGGAAAGATGATGTATTTAAATCCAAATATACAGTCAATTTTTTATTTCAAAAATTTTACAGGCTGTAAGTAATTTTGTCATTGTTGTTAACATGGAGGGATTGTATCACGGTGATGTCAGGGCTTTCAGAGTATCTGTCACGAGAATAGTGTGCATTGTATCTGATAAGTAGATTTTTATCTCTCACCCCTTCCCATCCTAGCTACTTTTTAGTTTTCAATGCCATTACACAACATTATGACCATATGTATCTCTTATTTAGTCCCAAATTGGTCCCTGGTTCCATTCAAGTTTCTGCAAAAGACATTTCATCCCCTTTTGTGGCTGTCTAGTATTCCATAGTGTGTGGGTGATATTTTCTTTATCCACTCATCAATTGATGGACACTTATGTTCACCTTTATAATTGTGAATTATGTTGCAATAAATATTCCATTTCAGATGTCTTTTTTAATAAAATGCCTTGTCTTCCTTTGGGTGGATACCAGAGGTGGATCTGTGTATACCAGTGGATCCCAGTAGTGCTGGATCAAATGGTTAAGTCTACTTTTAGTTCTCTGAGGAATCTCCATACTGCTTTCTGTAGTGGTTGTACCAGTTTACATTATCACCAACAGTATTTACATATTTCCTTTTCACTGTACCCATGCCAATATCCATCTTTTTTTGATATTTTAATAATGGGAAAAATTTTAATTTGAAAATAAATAAGTGGAATAAGCATACATATTGAATATAGAAAGAATTACCAAAATTAATCAGTAAAAATTCAGACTCTAATAACTCAAAAATTCAAGGACATTAGTAATTGACAAAGTTAATGAAGTGGATTCTGTGTCCCAGATTTTTTTCAAGGAACAGGGATCACAGAAACAAGTAAGTAACTTTCCCGACTTCTAGAAATTTTCAGACCAATGAACATTAACAGATGACTAAGCATGATTTTTCTCTGATCATTTGATAAATCTAAAAAATTTAAAATCTACAAAAGTGAAGGACTTAGTTATGTAAACTCTGGTACAATAAAATGTTTGATATTATTCAATGAATAGTATTAATTTTGGGAAGAACTTGAAATGATTTAAGAAATCTCCAAGTATCAACAATAGGGATTAAATAATAATACACATGTCTTATACAAAGTTACTATACAGTGTGATTTACCAGGGAAAAGAACTCATTTCCTCATAGACTTGACCTTTCATGAATCCAGAGCAAAGAAAGAAGCAAGAGTAATGGGTTCTCTGACTGTATGCTTTCTGCCATGCTAGGGGTGATGAGGTATTATTTTAAACCTGATTCAGAGAGAAATTTTCACAGATTTATTGAATAAGATTTCATTCAAATAAAACATAAGTTTGGCTCTCTTTATTACCTGGTAATACACTAAAATGGCAGGTAAACAGTGGAATTAGCATATACAGCTGACATTGCTCTTGATAAAGATATTTCCCAAATTATCTAGTGTCAAGCTCTGTATTGAATTGTTTGATGCTTTCATATAAAAGGTATAAATTAGTTTCATAATAGGAGTGTGTACATTGGATACTTTTTCCTCCATTCTTGTGATACTTTGCTCAGAAGAACATTCTCCAGTTCCATCCATGTGAACATGAAGGATGTAAAGTCTCCATGCTTCTTAATGGCTGCATAGTATTCCATGGTGTACATATACCACAGTTTGTTGATCCATTCATGGATCGATGGGCATGTGAAAACCCCACACTGTACCCCAGAAGTGCATTAATGTACATAGTTACCATTCAATAAAAAAAAATAAAATAAAATGAATTGTTTGAAGATTGGGGACATCAGATGATGTTAATTTTACATATGAAATGGAGAGTCTGGCTCTTATTTAGAAGGCTATGAAATGGGAGTATTGAAAAAAAAAACAGAGGTATCACATGATATTTTAAACTACCTGGGAAGATTAATAGATAATCTTTATGAAAATATGACACAAAACAAAGCTGCTTGGCTTGAGGAACTAGTGATTTCCCAATTAGAAAAATAAGTCCTATTCTGTTATTTTTCTTCATGTTCTCCCTTGTTCACTCAGATTCTTTTTTTATAATTTGCCTCCTTATGATTAATATGAAAACTCTGAAACATTCCTCTACTTTAATATGTTAAGAATCATGAACAATCTTCTATATTAAAGTACTATGTATCTTACAAATGCAAAATATATATTTCAAATATTTATGCTCTATTTTTATGTAAAGAATGAATCAAGGTATTACATCTTGTTTCTTATTTTATGCTTCTGAAATCTGGAATAAGCACAACTAATTTTGAAAAGAAAGAAACATGAACAAATCTTTAATTAACTAAAATAATTTATGGTATCAACTATAGTTCATGAATTTAGAGTCTCTCTATAAATCTTTATAGGCCTACCCCCCAATAAACATATGTTTTCCTGAAAAATTGTGAAAATCTTAAAAATATATTTTGATACTTGGAAGTGTTCACACAAGCAATTTTTGCATTGCACACAAGTTACTAAATCTGGGAAAAATTTACCATAGGTAAATAATCACACATGGCTTTCCTGGAGGGTGCAACTCTTCCTGAAGAATATTGATACATTCCTTTGCCATCTCATTTTCTTTTTCTGGTCCAAAGTTTCTTCATGGCATTTTTCATTTCTGCATTTCTCAGAGTATAGATTAGGGGGTTCAACATAGGGGTGATTACTGTGTAAAACACACTCAAAAATTTATCAATGGGTAAAGTAGAAGGGGGTCTCACGTACAGAAATATACAAGGGACAAAGAAGAGGAACACCACAGTGATGTGAGAGCCACAGGTGGACAAGGCTTTGTGTCTCCCCTCCTGGCTAAGATTCTTCAGTGAGTGCAGAATGACCCCGTAGGAGATGAGTAAGAGCATAAAGATGACCACACAGATGGCTCCATCATTGGCAACCACACTGAGGCCAATGACATAGGTGTCAGTGCAGGCAAGCTTTAGTAAGGGGTACATGTCACAGACGAAGTGATCGATGACATTGGGGCCACAGAAGGGAAGGTTGTAAACACAGAGAAGGTGAGCTACAGCATGCACAAAACCTCCAAAGCAGGCTAACAGCAGTAGCAGGACACACACCCGTTGGTTCATGATTGTTAAGTAATGCAGGGGTTTGCAGATGGCCACATACCGGTCATAGGCCATGGCAACCAGGATCAAAATCTCAGCACCACCAAATAAGTGTTCTACAAAAAGCTGGGCCATGCAAGCTTGGAAGGAAATGGTTTTCTTCTCATAGAGTAAGTCTATGATCATGTTTGGGGTCACTGTGGTGGAATAAACAGCATCCATGAACGACAAGTTGCCCAGGAAGAAGTACATAGGGGCATCCAAGGTTGTGCTGACCACCACAGTCGCGACAATGAGCAGGTTCCCTGCCATCGTCACAGCGTAGATAAGCAAGAACATCACAAACAATATTTTCTGGTCCTGGAGGTTCCTAGTGAGCCCCAAGAGGACAAACTCTGTCACGTTGTTCCTTTGTTCCATGAGTCCTTCTGTGCGTCCTTATTTCAGTGTTGAGGGAAAAATTACCTGCAAATACAATTATCAATAATGACTTCATGAAATTGTAGGATATTTTGTTTATTCATTCAACAAATAGGTAGTATGATTTCTTGTGTTACAAAACTGTCTCAGATCATAAGAATACAGTGCTGATTAAACACAATCTCGAACCTAGCCTTTGTAGACAAATGGAGAAAGAAATAACTAAGTAGAAATGCTTGTGCAAAAGGGACATAACTAGATTTCTATTTAGACTCTAATAAAATAGAAGATATAGCTAATACTATAAAAATAAAATAAAAATAGGTTAAAGATTTAATATAAAACTAAAGCAAGATATACTGTATATTTAATTTTAAATGAATTAAAAAATGAATTTTTCTACATAGTATGAATGGAGGAACTTTCTTAATTGGTAATTGAAATCCAAGATAAACATATTTGACAATTTCAAATTTTTTAAAGAATTTAGGAAAAGTTATCATAAACTGAAGAGACAAAAGTAATTTGTAAGTTTAAAGATTTACTTCTTAAATAACACACACAGTGTTAATATTTAAAATAGACAAATGGCTCTAAGAAATTAATAGATAAAATATAAATAAAACCAATAGGGAAATGGACAAATGATATAAACCAGTAATTATGGGGGAAAAAGTCCAAATGGCCCAAAAAATATATCATAGATTATTAAAGTTTACCTATAAAAATTAAAAGTAAATATTGCTTCATTTTTGTTCTTTCTGTGCATATCTAAGCATCACTTTATATTCACCGCACTTACAGAGAAGTTTTAAAATGATAGTAGCTATAACTAGTAAAAATGGAAAGGGCATTTTCTTACACTGATAGTGATCATAGGAGTTCTATATTTTAGGAACACAATTTATCAATCTCTGTTGACAATAAAGACATTTTCCAATACAACAATTGCACTCTAGAATCTATCCTATAGATGTTAAAACCCTAGTACACAAGGACATATGCATGACATGTTTTGTGGGATTGTTTATAATGGCGTTAAACAAGAAAAAAACAAAATAAAAAATGCTAAAGAGAACCCAAATCAATAGAGAAATAGTTGACTAGAACACAGAATATATTAAATGGAATAAAGCCATTTAAAAGAATTAATTACAGCTATGCATGTACTCCCACAAGTAAGAAAGTAATATGATATTATTTTAATAATAGCATGTATGTATAAATTTATACATACTTGTATATGATTAAATGAAGATGAGAAAATATTGAAGAGTTTATATTTTGGTGTTGTAAGCATGGCTTACATTTTTGCTTGTGATTCAAGGAAAGGCAAGAAGTTGTATGTGAAACACTGAAAATGTCAGAGGGAAGAAACCAAGCTAGAAAGAGAAGGGTGGGGAAGAGACAGGAAGAGACGAAGGGAGGAAGAGAAAGAAAGAGGGAAAGAAGACTTGACACACACTCATACACATTATATCATAAGTAGTATCAATATTCACTAGCCTGCCTACCTCTTAAAGTAATGCTAGTAATAACAGCCTGTCTCTCTCTAAGTCTCTGTTGACATTCACTTCAGCCTGACCTCACCTGCTCTAGATCGCCTGTGTTCCTTACTATGGCCATCCTCTCTGCTCAGGCATTAGAGCACATGCTCTTAAGAACAGTGCTCTTGCAATTTTCTCCTCCATTTCCTACATAATCAATTTTACTTCCTATACTGCATTTGTATATATGCACTATATACCAATGCGCACACACACACACACATACATACATACATAAGTATATGTGCTATTTATACACACACACATATATATAGTACACATTCATGCTTTCGAAATCTATTCTTTGACCCCACATCTCTTTTAAGCAAGCATCCCGGCCAATTGTCTGTTTTTCTTTATGAAAACAGCTTCATGTTGGTGTGCCTAATGGTCAATTTCAGTTCTCTTCTTACTCAACCTCTCCTTCCTAGGAAGAGAGGAAATCAGTTCACCTAAGGATATTCCACTCCCGTGTTTATTGTACCACAATTCACCAAAACTGTGAGAGGATGGATAGACTAAATAAGCATTTCGAGGTTAAAAGAAAAGTCAACTTGGTGGGAATGAGAATTGTGAATTAAGATAAATATCTGCAATTTGTGTTTTACACCAAAAGACATCATGAATTAGCCTCAACAACATCTCTATCAGTAATACTGACCTGTGTTCATACAGCATAATTGAACTTTGGGTAGTCTGAGGATGGAGAATAATTTTAATCTGGGTATGGCCATGTTTTGAGTCTATCACTTCAAATCCTAATAAAGCCAACCATGTGAATCCTGGTACTGATAAACACTCTCTGAGGTAAGAGTAAAAATCTATGGAAACTACATTTGAAATATAGCACATATTGTTGAGTGACTGGTGCATCTCCAAGGGTGATTCTTCTCTAATTAAATTCATTGGGACCTATACTATAATTTTGAGGGTAGCCTCTGGATCTCCAGAGAGGCCACAGGGATAATGACTATTTATAACAAGATTAACAAAACTGTGCCCTCTGGGGAAAATTGCAAAAGAACAACTTGAGGTCAAATCATCAAAGAGAAAAAAGTATAGTCTAGGCACAAATGAAATATGCAACATCTTTCTTAACTGAATCATGAACTACAAAAATAGGAAATTTATTGACTGTGTAAGCACAGACATATTTCAATAAGGGGTACATGTCACATATAAAATGATCAGTGACACTGGGGCTACCAAATGGAAGCCCATAAATAGTGCCAAGTTGAATTACTGAGTGCAGAAATCCTCCAAAACAGGGCACTGTCAGCAACACGACATATGCCCACTGCCTCAGGATAAATACCACAAAGGCTTATAGATGGCCACAGAGTGGTCTAAGGTCATGACCCATAAAAGAATGACCCCTGACCCACCAAAACAGTTCTGTATAAAGACTTGAGTGCTGACTCATACAAGATTGGAAAGGTATGGTGTTTTTCAGAATGAGTCTGAAATCAAACTTCTGGGAGGAATGGACAAGGAATAAATGACACCCCTGGATGAAAACATGAAAGAACAAAGTCCATCAGCAAGCCCAGGATCTTACCGACAGCCACAGCCACACAAGGAGCAGGTCACCCACCTTGTTGAGAATGTGGAGGAGCAAGTACAGACCTTGACTTGGAAAATTCACACTGCCTCCAGGAGACATTTTACTGACATTAACATTCATTTGGATGTCCCCTTTCTTCTTTTCCAGCTAGTTTTTTTTTGAGACAGAGTTGGTAGAGTGCTGTAGTATAACTCAGAGCAACCTCAAACTCTTAAGCTCAAGGATTCTCTTTCCTTAGCCTCTAGTAGCTTGGACTATAAGTGCCACACACAATGCCTGGCTATTTTTAGAGACAGGATCTTGTTCTTCCTTAGACTGGTCTCCAACCTCTGAGTTCAGAGGCTATCCACCCACCTCAGCCATTCAGAGTGCTAGAATTACAGACATGAGACATTGCACCCATTCCCAGCTACTCTCAACAACATTTCTGGCAACACTGGTGGAAGCGATTCTTACTGGAGGTTGAAAATCTTTGTTTTTGCCTTACCTCCAAAATAGAGTCATCGGCACCATTCAAACACATATATTTATTTCATGCAACAATCACAAACCTTTCTTAGGACAGGTCATTAGTCATTATTACTCTGAATCATCTTTCCTTACTCCTTTCCTTCTTACTGTTTTTTTACTTACATTCAATTCCATAAATGATGGATAAGAATTCAAACAAAAGAGTTATGACCCTTACTTCATGGAACTCAAGTCTACAAACATTCCTTAAATTTATTAAATATATAGGTGGTCCTAACTTGACACACTTTATGTGCCAGCATTTCCCCATCACCACTTTCTACTGCTTTCTGACTAACAATGTATGTTCTATAAATCCTGAACTTGTTAAGACCAATGATATGGATACCCAACCCTATCTACTCAATGTCACTAAGTAACAAATAACAGCAGACCTCAGCTGCTTGCAGTAGTGACATGTTCTTGTCATCCTTTGGTCTACAATCAGCTGAATTGCTCTTCCACTTCGAGTTGGGCTTACTTGTGCTCTGGGATCTTAGCTGGATTCTTCTACCTGTTTGGGAGTTGGTTAGCTATACTCTGACCTAATGTGACCTTAATTGGGACAACAGTGCTCTTTGTGTCAGTCTGTCATAGGAATGTTAGTCTGGGCTTGTTCTCATAGCAGAGGGTTTCAAAAGGAAAAGAAAGAGGAAGTGTATTTGGCCTTTTGAGGGGCAGGCTCCGAACTCCATTCTGTTCATGTCTGACCACATTTTGTCAGCCAAAGTGAGTCAAAAGCATTGCCCAGCAACAGAATGAGAAGGAAAGGCATACAAAGTTATAGGGAAAATGATGTAGAAGTAAAGAGGCCGATCACTGTGTTCATAGTAAATGTTTACTATGTGTCAGGCCCTTTTCTAAGTATTGGGTAAATTTACACTGATTGTGCGCTCCATCTTTGTGCATGCTGGTCTCATTACTCCCTGGAAGTAATTATATTATAAATATAATTATAATATAATTATGTTATTATATATACTTATAATATAAATTATATTATACATATTATTATATTATAATATAAAATTATAATTTTGCTAATTTAGAAATATCTCACTTGTGTTTACAGGCACAGCTTTAATGATATCTCTCGGGGAAGCTTTCTGTTCACTTGATTGGGTGGGCCAAAGGCTCTTCATCTACACTTCTTTAGTACCTGTAAAATTCCCTGATATTTAATTCAATTAATGTGTGTACCTCCTACATTGCTTTTTCATTTACTGCACCCAGAATTGTACCCATTGATACACAGGAATTTGCAAGCCTGGAGCCAAAGTGGATGTGAAACTCAGTCTAACAATTTATATTGAGGAAGTAACAATCTTTCTATATCTAAGCCGGCTCATATGCAAAACAGTATTATATTGGTAAGGAGC